GAAAGAGAGGAGATTTAGATTAGATCTAAGACAGACATTTTTTACATTGAGGGTGGTGAGGCAGTGGAACAGGTTGCCCAGAGAAGTTGTGGATGCCCCATCCCTGGAAGTGTTCAAGGCCAGGTTAGATGAGGCTTTGGGCAACCTGGTGTAGTGGAGGATTTCCCTGCCCATGGCAGAGGGGTTGGAACTAGATGATCTCTGAGGTCCCTTCCAACCCTAACCATTCTATGATTTTTACCACCTACTGACAAGGAAGCGTACAAAACAACTGCACATCACATGCAAGTGTCCATGTGCATGTCTTCTATGTATCGGCAATTTGTCACATGGATGAGAATTACGTCTTTGACTATCTCAACAGCATTTTTGACCTGCCTAATCTTGCCATTTCTTAAATTTCTCTAAGTTTCTGAAGATGAATATTCAAAGGCATTACAAATAACCAGGGTCCTCAAAATATTCCTACCATCAGGTCATGAAAGCATGAGTAAATAGCAAGTTACTTTAAAAATAGATTTACTTCCCTGTACTCACCATCAGGAAAAGAAAATGGTTCATATTTAGCTTCTTTCTGTGCACCATCATTTTTACTAGACTAAAGAACAGAATATGCTGAGTTAATGTGGAATGGTTTTGAGAAAGCTTTAGCACAATCATATCAAACACCAACTTTCCATTCATTTAAAGACGTTTTTAAGCCTAAACATCTTTTGTTGAACTTGAAACAAGTTCCATTACCATATCTCTAGCCGCACATCCAAAAGCCTAACCCAAGCAAGACCATTTTTTAAAGCCCATATATAACCATTTTAGCACATATTGCCTAGACTGTTTATGCACCAGATTTACAGGTTTGGAGGACAAAAACAATTCTGCAATTGAAGACTTTGTTCCTTGTTAGGGACTTGCTAGCAGCAGAAACGACAACAAGAGAATACCAGAGACGGGCTCTAAGTGCCAATACATTCTGCTTTAAAATACCACTCTTGCCTTGCTCTTAACTAAAGTGTAAAAACTGATGCAAGCCTTATTCAAACGTTTAAACGAACCTGCCAGGAGTTAGGCCAGGAAAAGACTAGCAAGCTTTAAAAAAAAAGGGCTAAACCACTACAGTTTTAGCTTGTTTACTTTTTTCTTCACTAAAGAAAGGGAAGTCAGTTTTAGAATATGTAGACAGGAGATGAAACCATATAACAAGTTGTTAGAGTACAGACTTTTAGCTCGTTAGTACATATATTCTAAATTTTATCAGTCAGACACATAGTACTCCCTTGTACAACCCTTTCCAGTCGGTGAGCAGGAAACAGCTACCTATACTCCACTGAAGAAGCGCCCTGCTAGCAAGCAGTAATGTTTGAAGAGAATCATGTTACGTAATTCACAGAAAACCTCTAGGCTTAACACTGGTAAACAGAAGTACTACGTTTTAATACGTTTTGAAATAAAAATGTAAGCAACATGTTTGTTTATAGGATTTAACATTTCTCATCAAGCATTCATACCAAAGCACATATTGTATTTTCATGCAAACACACAAAAAACATCTAAAGCTCAATACCAAAGAATCTGATTCCTAAATAAGAAAAAAAAAAAATTCTATTTCAGGAAGTCAGGTTTTCTCTAGTCCTTATCAGCACCTCTATGGCATCCAATTATTATTACCCAGCTGGCTTGAATTGAATTGAATGTAATTAACTAATTAACTAAGGTTTAGACCCTGCCTACAAAAGGCCGGCCATTTCCTCCTGGCTGCAGAAGATGCAATGACATCCTTGGAGCCGCAGCCCAGGCTGGTGAGCAACACACCTCAATTTCAGATGTATGATTTATCTAATCAAAATGTCAGGAAACTTACATTCTTTGGCTGTTGATTTACTTTTTTGTCTTCTAGATCTTTGAATTTTGATCGATAAGAAACCATTTTTTCCTGAAGGTCTGGTGTACACAGCTCATATACATCCAGCATAAGAGGAAATTTAACATCCTAGGAAGTAAAAAGCATAAAGATTATTAGCATAATTTGGTACTCCACATCGAAGTGTTCTCCCATAAGACAACACTAAGTCCAATTAAATGCAACTCTCACATTTATGACAACTTGATCTACTGAAATGTTGCTGACAGTACTTACCCAAAGATCTACAATACTTTCACAGAAGAATGCCTGATTCAGTATAAACAAACCAACATAAATTACTGCATTCAGTATAAATATTTATTTTTAGCTGTCATACTTTTATACTACAGAAATCGCTATGCAGGCCTAAGGAAAATAATGCATGTAGAATGACTGTACACTTGTGATTTGTATTATCCAAACAATCTTCTACAACAGTTAACACGTGCCTTCAATCTTTATTCCCTTGCTTGTCTTGTAAGGAACAGGCATCATCTATCATGATGCTCCCTGGGCAGCCTGGGAAGTCTGCCAGCCAAAGCCAACAGAAAGCAAAACAAACATTGAGCTGTTTGCAGCTCATTCTTGCATTTGTCAATCAGAAAGCCAGACAGTTCAAATCACTAACACAGGAAGTGTTTGTTAGCATAAACACATCTCATCGACTTTAGAACATTGTCCAGTGACTGAAAGCACGGCCCTCTCCTTAATTAAATGTTCTCCTCTGTACCACCAATGAAGGGAGACCAAAAAACATCAAAACAGTATTGGAGCAAATTCACTTCCATCTCTTACCTTCTCCCCCAGTCTATTTTGGTAGTATAATTTGCCACACATTATCCACAACTGGGAATAAAGCTGCTTTGTACTTAAGCAAAGAAGCTGCACTGTTAATAATTTAAATGCAATTTAAAAGCAAACAATTTAGTAAATAGCCTTCAAGCATTAGTTATCTACCTAAAACAAAAACTCACTGAAAAGCATAAAGAGGAATTAAACTTCGATATGCAGAAAGCACACTCACCTTAAGAACTTTGGCATTCACGGATTCTTTCTCTTTGTAAAAAAATCTAACCATCTGAATAGTCAGGTACGCTGGCAAGCGACTAATTTTAGACTATAAAAAAATTAGAAAAAGCTATTACTTTCAATATTCATATCTTTTACACCTTAAACACTGCTCATCCTAAATTACAGGTTATTCTGGGAACATATTTGTACACAAACACATAGGAATATAACATGGCTTCCTATTTTGAAGCTCTGTATAGTAGTGTACTCAAAGAAATAATTTTCAATGGGTCTTCAACTTCTTGGTAGTGGATATTCAGATGCTTTATAAACATAAACCACATGCTGTTGCAGCAATAACTTTGTGTTTCGGGACAGGAAATTGACAATAGTTAAAAGAATCAAAAAGACAACAAAAGCACCACTCACAGATTTGATATAGAGTGCGTTTCTCTGCAGTGTTGGAGAGAGTTTGGTGATTTCCTCTTGAAGACGCTGTTCAAAAAAAAAACCCAAAGGGTAATACCACATACGTTCATCATAAAACACAGCTTAAAGTAAAGCACAGCGTGGATAAACAAACCATAAACTACATCTTGTTCTGCTAATCTCTCCTGGTGCTACCAGCCATTACCACACACAGAATTTGGAAATTCCTTAGCAGAAAGACAATGCTCAGTCATTTGTTCAGCTCCAGGCTCATTCCCGAGCCTTGACAACACTAAGTTTCTCTCTGCAGAGGAGAAGATTTATACTACAGTAGAACCTGCAACTGGATTCGGTTAGGACTGTGTCATGACATGCTTGGAACACAACTAAAGAAAATCTTAAGTTCCTTGTGACAGGAATATTTGCACGTTTCTCAACTCTCAGTCTAAAGCAGATAGAGCTGCATGAAAAGGAGACAGGTGGTGATGCTCTACTTCCAGGGACCTTTCCAAATTCAAGGAAAGGCTGGCCTGGTTGTCAGTGTTGTGACTCTCTCGTTTCAGGCAATACAGCATAAGTATTCTTAGGAGACCTTTTCCAGCCTGAAAGTGAGGTTTCTTTTTTCATAATCTTTTTAATTTGTGAGCAGTAACTATTTTATCTTACTTTTCCTTCTAAATTATGTCAAAAAAGAAGTTGTTGAAACAAAGATTAGCTGAGAACCATGCAACTTGCTTTAGTCCTGTACAAACAAGATCACTGCTTCCATCCCTGCTCTTATATAAATACTCTGCAAGAGCAGTTACTACAAAGGTTTTGTAGTAACTCCTCTCCTTGCTCCTTCAGATTCTCAAAAAAATCCTGAAAATTTAGAAATATACATATATAAAAAGCACAGACTACTTTAAGAAGTTCTACTTAAATGAACAGCTGAAAGACGATGTTGTGTCACAGAAAATAACTCCCTCTTCAAAAGCTGCAAAATTAAATTTGATTGTTCCATTATCTGTTTTTTTTTTTCTTAGCAACCAAAATGCCACCCTATTTTAAAATTGACTTTTGGATTTCTTGGCAAATGTTTACAGTGTGCTTAAACCACGACACTGCTCAGTCCGAAGGGAAAGAAAGCCAACTGAACAAACAAGTAGTGAACTGGCGTGAACTTGGTTACCTGCAGGGGGAAGACTATGTCAGGGTCAAGAAAAAGCTCTGCTGAAGCCTGCTTTACATTAACATGCAATTCATTTCACTGCCATCTTCCCATTGATCACAAAAAAAAAAAAAAAGTCTTGAAACTCGTAAAGCCTGGACAGCAGATATCAATTCCAAGTCATAGATTAGAAACACAGCTCATTTAGAATTTCGATTAAGTAAAAGTTGCAATGGCTTACCAATTTTAGTCCTGTAAACAGATATTTCACTTCTTGATTGATAAAGCAGCTAAGCTGAAGCAAATTCTCCTTTCCTTTAGTTACTTCCTCTTCTTCAGCTTCTGTACATTTCATGCTTCATAAAATTAAGGAAAACCATCATGCTCCAAGAGGCGAACTACTGCTCTAGTGAAAACAACATGCTGAACAGCACGGTAATTTAGGATAATCCTGTGCTTGTGCCTCAATAGTACTTTTACTAATCGTAGTACAAAGAAGATGATTTTAACAGCCCTTCCTTCTAAGCAATCTGGTCCTTCGTGTCTAATGACAAGTGGTGGCTGAGGCAGACAGCATACTGAAAAAAAGTAAAATAAGCTTTTAATCACCATTTAAGCTTGTGAGGCCTGCTTTGCTTTCTCCTCTCCCACCCCACCCCAGCCCCCAGGACACAGATACTAACCGGCTGCCAATACCAAGTTATGAAGCCCTCCTGCAACATTACGCTCCATT